TGAACCAGGAAGTGGGCCCCACCAGACACTGACTCTGCCGGCACCTTGATCTTGGACTTCTCAGCCTCCCAGTGAGAAATAAATTTCCGTTGTTTATAAGCTACCCAGTCTATGGTATTGGTTGTAGGAGCCCAAACCGATTAAGACACACCTATAATAATTGAGGCACACAGTAGGGCTATATGGTTTCTGTGTTACCAATGGGCTGCTTTGGGCTTTCCCAGGATGGCATTTAATCCAAGTACTATATGGGTGAGGATAAGACTCAATCACATGCTCAAATAATGCTGGCTGTATTTTTCAGCACAAAGATTCCAAGATGGCATCCAACAGTGGTACACACTGGGTAACAAGGAAGAAATCCCAAACATACCATGGAATTTTTCACACTCTGTAGCAAGCGCTCGTGCTGCTCAGCAATTGCCAAGGCAGCAGAATGGACCTTCTGGTAGATGGCCTCCCCATCGCGCGTCTGAAAGATAAACAGCCCTTCGCCAGTCTCACACATCCTGTGAAAACAAAAACAAAAAGATTCTGAGAGTCCAGTCCCTAGCTGGTCCGCACACTGAGAGCTTAGGGCGCTCCAAGAAGCTGGACCCACTTGTTTTGTATGGGGTGTGGATTCTCGTTTCCATCTGCTAAAAGCAAAGTTACCGAGAATCAAAGTTTCCGATGAATTATTAATACGGGCAAGGAACCAATCACTCTAGGCTGACATGTGCTGATTTTGTTGATGTCATTGTTAAGAAGCAAAGTGGGAGGTTAATAAAAAAGCCATTTGTTGATTTTTTGCATAATCCCCATACTTCACCTTGCCACTCTCAAAGAGGGTACCCCTGCGACTGCACTCCCCTTACAAAGCAGGAATCAGAGCCTCATCAAGAACCACTATTTAGCTCAGAGTTGAAAGTAGGATCTTATGATGCTCAGAGTCTGGTCTAGCTTCCTTACCGACAATGCTTTAAGGATTCTTTCGTTTCCAAAATCAGACATCAAATTTCCCTCCAGCTTCTCAAAATGATGGATCAAACGCAGCTAAGAAATTTTTTTTTAATGATCATTGATTGTGCTGAATTAATGTGTGGAACATAAGAGAATTTCCTGAAGGAGAACTATGTGGGTTTGATAATTAATGTTAAGGATTAAGAGGTAAATCATCTGCACCTCAGACTATTAAAACAGGAATGAACTCCATCAATAAGGGGAGATTGGTACACACAATTAGGCAAGAACCAAATAAATGGTTTTTAATTGCTAAATATATTCTAGTGCCTGTATATATAATATATGTAATGACTAAATATATTTGATTACTCTAAATATTTTGACATGGGCAAAATTATATGCAAGGGTATTTTTAAAGTTCTAATTTTGATATGTACATATATCAACAACGCACGAAGAGGTTGTTTTTGTTTGTTTTAAGCAACCTAATTATTCTAAGACAATTCCACTCCTTTCATCTCAGAATCGCTTGCTGAAAAACTGACTACTAGCTTTAGTGCCTGATTTTTGCTCACATCTAAAGAGCTGTTTAACACAACATGGAAACCAAGCGAATTTTCAACCCAAACCACTGTTGATTATTTTATCTATCCCAGTCTATGCAATTAATGCAATAAAAATAGAAACATTCATCTCTATCTAATTTTCCACAGTTGGCCCAATACCACGGCCATATGGCAGTTTTCAGCACATATAGCATGGTGTATGTACTTGGTCAAAACCTGCCTAGCTTGAATTTCACTTTTATGGGCTATGTGAGAAGAAGAAAAAGAAAAAAAGCAGATGGCTCTTTCAGCAAGCTAACATAAAGAACTATCTCATGAGATTGATCACGTGACTTTTTATTAAGTCATTCTAATCGAACGAAGAATGAAAAACTAAGAACAAAAGCATTTTTACTCAAGTCCCATTTCCTTCCTGAAGACTTACTCAAATACTCCAGTGCCCGCTGCTATCCCCGCCTTATTTACACCACCATACACATTTGACTCTACCAGTTGGCACCTAATCCTGGAAGGTCTTATGATTTTCCTACCTCTTTTTTCCCATAAATATAGAAATATAATTTGTTAAGAGGAGGCTGTAACCTCAATCAACTCTTTAAGAGGAAGAAGTGGCCTTCTTTTTCCCCTAGCGTTTTGGACATTATTTATTTACTTAGTTATATGCCAACCCTGGTTCTAGAAAAGGTGAAGATACCTGTTACTTAGAAACTATGGCAGGATGATTGCTTAATATCAAACCCTGCAACTGTGTTTCTCAAACTTGACAACCCACTGGCTTTTTGAAATTTTTGCAACTGCAACCCACAGAAATAAATATAGTTCAAATTATGAGTTAGTATGTCTATCGAGCTATCTATTTCTATCAGTGATTTACGTGTATAACATGCTGATGTTTTCTATTCTAGTTTATTTTTTAACACTGGTGCTAAAATGCTTCATCTATATTATGACCCATTAATTGGCCAGCCCTGCTGTTTGACAATCACTCTTTTATCCAGTGTCTGCTTTTGGTAAACAAAATGAATTTATAATCTTCCTTTAATGACATAAGAATCTCTAAACAATTATTGAGATCAAAAACAAATGAAATCAAAACCTTTGTAGTATTGAGCATTCTTCTTCAAGGTACACAGACGACCACACACTCCCCTTGCCTCCACCTGAGGATCTGAAAGACACACACATACACACCCTCACACACACATGCATGCACACATATGCACACACACACATGCACACACATACACACGCACACACATGCCCACACACACACACACACACACACACACACACACACCACTTACCACTGACAGAAAGGACCAGGAGTCACAATCTCAGATCCCCTCCTATCGGGGTTTAGACGAAGGTGAATGGCTCAAGTGGCTCAGATACCACAACCCAGAGCAGAGGGAGAGTGGCTACGAGAGAGCCGCCCTCAGTCAGCCCTAGTCAGGTAGTCACATGGGGACATGTGAGCCCAGTGTGGTCACAGCTCCTGATTGTTTAAGAGATGCCAGAAAACTTGATTTTTGTGTGAAGTCACCTGAATTTTTAAAGTTAGCAACTTGCTCCATTGTTTAAACTGTGGAGACCAAAATGCCCCCAGTAACCTGATCTGACCAGAGCAGCAGTTTGCTTTAAAGAGACAACAATACCTGAAAGAGCTCTAAGTAGGGCAGCACTTAGGCCTTTAGTTTGAATTGTTGGGACTTTTGTCCGTACTACTCAAAGGCACGTGTCCTTCAGTGGGATAGCGGGAAGCAGGAAGGTGACAATGAACGAAAACTGACCTTCAGAGGCTCCTCCACACAAAGTCTCGCCTAACCTCAACACATGACTTCTTTTATCTCAGTCACCCCCTCCCAATAGATCTGTTGGCTTCTATTTCATAAGCAGCTTTAAGTCCATCAAAAACGTTACTGCAAGCCTTCGTGGAAATAATATAATGGGCGAGCTCCCCAAGGCAAATAAGAATAGGAACAAAAGGAAAGAGGAAAGGAAAGGAAGTAAAAAGAAAAGCACATCAAACAGGCTAATGGTCTTACATAGCTTCAGGCGGCATGACTGCTCTCCTCGCCAGAGAAAACACAGCAGAACGAAGATGCTCACATGGGCTCATCCATAACAGGATTGCAAACGCACGTTTGCACTTTTCATGGTCTGAACTCCTTTCTTTCTTTTTAACCACTGACTTTTCCCTTGGACACTTTTCCAGCATCCAAAGTGGTCCCAAATGCTGCAACCCTCTTGCCTTATGACCCTACACCAACAGAAACTAGGGATGGAAACCCAGAGAAGGCAACGCCATGAGTTACAGTGGGGCCTCTCCTATGTCCTTTGTGAAGATAAGGATTCAGCTATAAGAATACTGTGGCCATATTGATGCACTGATAGTTTTGAACGCCCCAATAATTCCTTCGCCTAAATGACATGCCTGCCCCTCCAAACTGTGGATTATGCAATTGGTCAAGAAGAAAATCAAGAGCTCTAAACATATGGAGAAATGTATTCATTCACACACACACGAGTATCAAGACAGTGTGGAATCAGAGGTAAGCCTTGGGCTCCAGGCTGCCTGGCTGGGACTGCCCCCTTCCCTGCTTTGTGACCTGGTATACATCACTCGTATGTAATCTAAGCCTATGTTTCCTGTGGAAAATAAATAGAATGCCAGACACTGTCACCCAGTTTTACTGGAAATATTACATGTGATATGTAGTGCGCACCAAGTAAATCTCCAATCAATATGCACTTCCAGTATTCTACTGGAATGGAAGCTCCACGTAGACAGAGAGTTATTTTCTGATTAATTTTTACAGCATAGAACAGGGCTTGGCCTACATTTGGTGCTCAATAAATAACTGTAGTCTGGGTTACAAAATAGCAGGCAGTGCTAGTAAAAGGTGTAGCTGGGAACTTGACCCAGCTTCCTTGAGCAAGTCTTAACTGAACTGGATTCACCAAGCCACCCTCAGGAGGGGAGCAGTTTGGAAGGGACGGCTAGACTAGGCCCAACAGAAATGACTGCACATAGACTGTCTTGAGGTGGGACAACGTCCCAGGATTCCGAATAACAGGAGAGGGTGGGAGGAGGGGCAGCCCCGCCCTCGGGACGCTGACCTGAGCGTGAGCGCTCTTGCGTGATGGTCTTCACTATTTCTAAGTCAGCACCGCAAAGCAATAGTCCCTACAGGCACTGAAGGCTCAACTTTAGAAACTCCATTTTCTCTCCTGGCCAGTGACATTTCACACCAACATATTTTATTAGAAAAAATGCTAATGGGGTGAAATTATAATAACCAAAATAAATGATCTCATGCTGGGCCATGTTCGTAAGTAAACTTAGGAAATGAGCTAGCCAATCAGTTCGATATTCCCTCAGTTTCAAGATGTAGTGCATGAATGTACATTTGTGTGAGTGTGCACCTGTGTGTTTAGAACATGTGGACATTGCTAAAAGCAGGAGGTAGCTTATACTCGACAGGTATAGTTAAGATGCGCTTTTCTTCTCTCCACCCCTGCCAAAGCAGGCATTACATCAATGTGAAATTTTGCATTTGCAGAAGGATGCAGTGCTTGTCAGACTAACACAAGGCACATTGTAATAGCTGCTATGATGGACGTAAACACGGGTAAAGACATGGCTTTTTCTGTGAGGCGGTTACAGTTGACGTGGTTAGACAAGGTCTACATATGTGAGCAAGTTCAAGAATAATACGATGGTGGGATGGGCCATACTGATCAGAGGAGCAATTAAGAAAGAAAAAGTGTAGTTGGGAAGAGAGGTGGGTATCAGCGTTAGATGGTAAAGAAGAAAATTAGGAAGCCCGAAATCAGAGAAACAGATCAGAAGCATCTTGCAGAGAAGGACACAAACTTAGGAGAAAAAAATGGCAGGATGTTGACATTCTTTTGTCTGTGAAGTGAAGTGAACAAATGGAGTATGGCCCCGCCCCCACCTGTGGCTATGGCGATGCCAAAGACTCTATAACAAGAAA